GTTAATCTCATATATATAAGAAAGCAGAGATTAGTATGAAAGGCTTTAGAAAAGTTTTTATACAAAAAGTTGTTGCTGAGGACATCAAGAGCTAAACCACTAACCATATTCCCCTTTCACATTGGTTCCAGGTCAAATTTGCAGCAGCTGAACTGCAGAAAATAGACGGCCTTATGGTTTGAATATTTGTAGTCAGTCTTTTTTTCCTCCTAGTTTTGACATTCCATTTTAATTTGTGCTTTTCCTGTTTTTTATTTTTTAATTTATTATTTATATTATGCTGTTTTATTGTTTTTCTTGTAAGCCACCTCAGAAATTTTATGGAACAAGACAGGAGTATAAATAATTCAATACATCCAACTTATATACAGCTTTGCAAAATGTAGTCATTCAAAACAATGGATTTTTCCACAAAGAAAAGAAGTGATGATACTAAAAAACTGAGAGTATTTCTGAATTATTATTATAACTAGTATATTTTCCATCATCTCATTTTAATCTTTATTATCTTTCCAATCTTTTAACTTCCACTGTAATCGGGTACAAAGGGAGAGACTTTGTAAGTTAGCCACAAAAGTAGTGACCATGTAAAAGTTAATGCCAAGGGTGTGAATCAACAAAAATACCTTGAAAAACAATTCTGAGCACTGTCCTGTTCTCCTTTTTTTTTCTTTTTTCTTTTTTCCTTCTTATGAAGCAATAATCCTCTGGAGGATCTAAGTCAATTCTATGCCATTTGTGCTTCTCTATACAATCAGAAAGAAGGGCAAAAAAAATCAAAATTTACCCCATGGCTCAAAGCTCCATATAATCTTGAAGCCTCACTGTGTTATCATATTTTTTCATTCTTCCTGATCTTCTAAGCAGGAGAGTTTAAGATGGCCAGAGAGAGTAGAAAGTACTTGATTTTCCTAGACAGAAGTCACACAATGTGAAAACTGGCCTGCAGGGTTCTCCTCCGCTGGGAAGTAGAGAAGTTCAGTCATATGTCCCTTGTTACAAAGCTAGTAAATCATCAGTAGCTACTGTGGAACTACCAGATGCTACTTATTTTGTGGAAAGGGAGTTAGGGCTTTAATGTATGAATTTGGGGCAGGGGAAACAAACATCAAGTGCATAACAACATGTAACTATTAATGAGTGTGCATTTTGCCTAAGGGAAATGTGGATCTATTTTACCATTTCAAAAAGGCCAGTGAAATAATCACATTTTCATTTTAAAAAGCTCATACAGGCTACATCTTACAGAATGGGTTAAAACACACAAAACTGGAGATAGGAAGATGTCAGTGGTTGGGAGAGTAATTCAGGTGAAAAAATAAAAGGCAGTTGATGTAGACTAGGATAATGGTTGTAAAGAGAAAAATTGTACCAATTTTAGAGATGCTTGACAGGTTAGTCAACTCAATAGCACTTTGTTATATTTTCTGGTTTGAGAAATTGAGAGTTAGTCTTTATCAAAATCTGGGTCACACAGATGAGAACTGTGTGGTTCCCCAAAGGGAAACCTGTGTGGTCCTTTTGGTTCACATTATGAGAGGTTCTTTTGGGGCATCTGCATGAACATGTTGAGCATGTAATTGGGTATTTACTTTTGAGAACCTAGACAGAAAATAATTCATCACTTACTTTCCATAATGTCCATGCTTAAAACACAGACAATAGGGTTTTAAATTTTATTGTATAGGCAGTCATTTATTTAAGGCTTAACTTAAAATATACTAAATAGCACTAAGGAAGAGACTTTATAGTATCTGTTAGCTTCAGTTTTTCTTAATTTTTCATCATTTTATAAGTGAAGGAAAGCTGAGGCTAATGAACACACTATCACTTGCCACAGTCTAACAGGATTTTGTGGAGACAGACCTTAAGCTCACTTCTCCACTTTTCCCTGCCAGGGTCCTAGCAGGAGTATGCTGGTGCCTTAGGATCGCAGGTTCATTCTATGTCAAAAGAAGGTAGGCTATCCCTACTGGTTCAAGAGTCTATAAACTGATGGCTAGATAACTATTGTTTCTGGAGTAACAGACTTTAAAGACTTACCCTAACTCCACTTCTGGTTCCTAGCATCCCAAAGGTAGTAGAAATAGGAATGGAATAAGGAAACCCAAGTTGTAGACCCAATTCTGACAATGACTCACTATGTGACCCTGGACAAATCACTTATCTCCTTTGTACCCATTTGTAATTGAGATGAGAATTATTGACATGCTTCTTTCTCTTGGGCATGAAACTAACATTAAAAAATCTTTACTGATACTTACACACATATGTGGAAGTTAATTGATTCCTCCTCCATGTTGCTTTTGCTCTCTGAATGTGTCTCTATTATTGTACCTACCAGATTATCTCATAATTATCTGTTTATATGTTTGTTTACATGGCAAAACTAAGAGCCCCTCAGGTGTAGAAATTAGGTCAAATTCATCTTGGCATCTCTCAGTTTCTATAACATCATTTGACATATAGCAGGTGCTCAAAAAATGTTTTTTGAATGTCAAAAAAGAAAGAAACTTTTGAAACTACTCAACAACAACAAACTCAAGATGTTTGACTTTGAGGCATCACAAAAAACATCAGATCTTCAAAGGAAAATTCAGTGTTAAAGGAGAAGGTTTCTAATGACCCTTCAACACTCTAGAAACTGTCTCTCAAAATAAACTTAGGATCTTAGGGATTTTCCAGTTTACAGACAAACTAACAGCTTCCTATTTAATCTTTACAAAAACTCTTCAAAGTAGGTATTATTATCCCCAATCCCCACTTTACGTAAAAGGAAACCACGTTGCAGAGAAGTTAAGTCATCTGTCCATGGACACACAAAGTCAGGAATTGAACAGTTAGTGCTATGAGACTAGCTGGGTAGTCATGTTTAATAAATTTATCGAACCAAATTGACTGAGCAGAATGTGCAAGGCAGACAGGTAGGTGTATTGGAGCATAAAGATGATTAAGACACATCTCAAGGACTATCTTAAGAGACAAAGCCATGGATGGACACAGGTGATCAGCAAGAAAGAGATTGAGTTTGATGAAAGATTCGGAAAAAAAGGGCATTAAAAGAGAACTTGTGAGACAGTGATGTTTGGTCTGGGGATGGGCAAGAATGAGATTGGGGGAAGGACATTCATGCAAAGGGAAAACATGAGCAAAAACAGAGAGGCTAGTAGTCATATTACAGGAAGAGAAGCAGTGGAGAGAGAGGGTACAGGAGAGAGAGGGAATAAGACAGAAATGGGATAGTAAATGTATTGATTTTAAGATTTTGGTGAACATCTCAATGGAGGTATCAATCCAGCAGTTGGAAATGTGGGTGTGAAGCGGATGGAAGAAATGAGAAATAAAAATACATGGTTGTGAGTCATCTTTACAGAGAGAATAAGGAGACCAAAGAAACATGGAGATAACATCTAAAATGTGGGAGAAGGGAAAGGAACCAAAGAAAATGTGGTCCAGAGGTAGAAACAGAAGAACAGGAGATCAGTAAATCAGGAGCCTCTTCCTGGATATCAACTCGCAGAAAATGGAGGCTCAGTAAAGAAGGCTTGGAAGGATGCAGAAAGTTAAGAAGAGGAAGACTAAGAAAAAGGCAATGAAATGGGAGAAGTATGAAGTCACCTATGATATCTGAGTGAGTAATTTTGGTCAAATTGGGGAGGATGTGAAAGGATAAAAGGCAGATTAATAGAAATGAGCAGCGAACTGGTCAAGAAGTGAGGGTAAATTCAAAATTGTTGATGGAGGCCATGAGAAAGTACAAAATACAGTCTAAGGTCTCTTGACTCTTCTGGTCATCCTCATAACCAAGGACAAATGGCTACTCAAAGCAAGCGCTTCTGTTCGTTCCATGGAATTGAACTAGACTAATTAATCACCTCAGTCACTCAAGCCCTTGACTTATAAGCACCATGCTCCAGACAAATAACATTACATAGAAGATCTGATTTTTTAAAACTTGGAGTGTTATTTGGAATTTTGTAGCAAGATGAACACATCAAAGCAAACAGAGTCATACATAATTGCCCCCTTGGGAGGTTCTGCACTATTCTAACAATGCTAACACCATACAAAACCTGCTCCAATTCCTTTTTCAGTACTGTTCCCCTCAGTACCGAAGCCCCTGTTCAGTACTGTGAGGCAGCTTAGGAGCCCCACGATAACCCCTCCAATAATAGCTATTATTGCTGTCATCACTATTTTTATTCCTCATTGCCTACCTTATACACTACACTTGCCTCTAAATAACTTTGGACTTTTTTCAACTTGAAGCTGCCTCAAAAACCACAGATTTGTCAACACAGAGTTTAATCTGAAGGAAGTTCTCTCAAAGGTTTCAAAAGCCATTCTGACTGACGGTAGCACCTTTGGAAAGAGAGTTCAACCTGCGGAGTGTTTTTTGTGAAAAGGGCATGTGCTTGTGTGTGTAAGCTCACGTTTTTACCCCTGCTATTACGTGGGTCTCTATGTAATCCATCAGCATCTGGACTGCCTGCCGTCTACTGCAAGTTCCCAAATGCTGAGATTCCTGCTTCAAAGACCAATACCCTGACATTTAAAAAAAAAAAAAAAAAAAAGCTAAAGGCAAACAGATTCAGCCAGACTTGGTGACAAGAATGCCAAACTTAAAAGAGGCACATTCAAACTGATGTGTGGCCCTACACAAGTCATTCACCCTCTCTGGGGGTCACTTTCTTCACACATAAACTGAGGGGGTTGGACTAAAGGACCTCTAAGATGCCTTTCTTCTGGAATGAAGATCTGGGAGAAGTTACAGCAGTCTGGGGAGCAGCCCCAGCCCCACCAAGAAATGGGGCACCCCCTGCTCCTGGGGGGCAAAGGAGGGTGTCCTAGCCTAAGTGAAAGCAGCCTCCTCCCCTCTGTGTGGGGCACTTGTTTGTTTTGTTCTTTGCTGCCCACCAACTGAGCTGTTGAAAGGGCAGCTCTAGCCCCCTCAGCACCCCATCAGCACTACGCCCACGGGTGGCGGAAGGGGTCCTTACCCATTGTGTTGTTGGCTCGAGAACAGGCTGTGCGCTTCAGAATTTCATGCACCTAAAATGGATGAGAGCAGGTTGTGAGGACCTTGGCCACATGCGTCACCACATGTGGGGGGCGGACTGGGGACCAGGCACCTGGACCCATTTACAGAGAGGGGGAAGCCAAGCATGTGCCAAGTTCGTGGACTGCTTGTCAAACCTACTCAAACTTGAGTGCTCTGAGGAAACAATCAACCTCCTCATACACACTGCCCCCCACTTTGCCCCACCCTGAAAAAATTAAGAAAGGGAAGGCTATAAATTGCAGTTATAGCAGGCAAGAAAAACACACCAAGGAGCCTAGACCCCTACTGCGCCCCCTAGGGGAATTGGGAGGAGGGGCCTGGGTCACGCAGGGGATGCGGTGTCTGCTTCCCCTGGGGGAACCTCAAGGAAGATCCGGAGGAGGATGTCCTCTCCCCCAGCCCTGATTAGTGCCATGCTGGGGAAAGCACAGGAAAAGGAAGGAGAAAAACCCGGTTCTAGTCCTGGCTCCTAGCAGAGGGGTCCTGAGCCGCTCCGTGACGGCTCGTTGCTGCCTCTGTAATAGAGCTACCTCACAGAGCTGCTTTCAGAAACCATGACAGAGCTTTGTAAACTGGAAAAGGGTCACCTACATGTTGGTCATTGGCACTATTTCCCCCCTGGTTTTCTCCTGAGTCCCATCTTGCCCCCCCCCCCCCCCCCCCCCCCCAGTCAGTGTATGTCAGACACTTCCTCAAGACTCCATGACTCCGAGCACACCCTGGGTCCCTGGCAGGCTGACCGCTCAATGACCACTGCATGACATAATGGACCAACAAGCCCCGACTATGGGGCTCACATGGGAGGGAGGGCTGCTGAGAATATCCCCAGCAGAAAAAACAGGGACACGGGCAGGCCGGCATAAACCTGCCGGCCAACCACTATCCTCCAGTGGGTTCCAAGCCCATGCCAGGCTACGAAGAGAGGCTCAGCAAGAAAGTCTGTCCTGGGACAAAGAGCTGGGCTGTTCAGATGCCCACAAAGAAAGGGCACAGGGAAGATGTTTAGAGGTGTGGGCGAGGTCCCAGAGCAGAAGAGACCCCAAGACAAAACTCAAGGCTTTCCCCTCTTCTCAGTGTGGGGTGGACTGGAAAAAGGGCAGGAAGCAAAGGAAGAAGCTTCTAGAAGAGATGAATGGGAGATGTTTTACTGCATCATCATTCACACTCTCATATTCCAGCCACGGACTTAGAGGAAGTGGTAAATAAATAACTTGTAGCAGAATGGGGCCCAGGAATGTTCAATTCATTTATAATACAGTACAGTAGTTCAACAGCAATAATAATTAAGAACAGCATTTATATGGCACTGTATTATTTTACAGGCACTTTGCAATTATTCGGGTAATCGCCACAACACCCCGTAAGTCCCTCACAGACATGACACTCAAGCCACGCAGATATTTGAGTGGCTTATAATAGCATCAACCAAAAAAAAAAAAAAAAGAGAGAGAGTGAGAGAGAGAGAAGTTTAAATTTTTTTCCATAAAAAGATGAAAGAAATCATATGCTCATTTTAAACCTTCCTAAAACACTAGGCTAAGGGATCTCAAGTATTTTCTTGCCCATCCTGCAAACAATGAGTCAAGGCCATGTTTTCTGTATGCCTTGGTAATATTCTGTACCTTTCTCTAATCACTTGTCTCTTTTTATCCTTCTTATCACCCTATTACTTAGAAGTTCTGCTAAGTATCTAACCCTCATTCCTCCTTCTGTTGAAACTAAAATTCTTTCTTAGAGATCAATGGAAACGCACTGCCAAGTTTCTTCTGTGTTGTAAGTGTCCAGCATTCCGTGGACCCTCTTTTTCTCCTCTGTCCATGGGCCGAATGTTCTCTAGGTAGACAGAGAATACACTGATCACTGAATAAGCTGATCACCCTACAGCTCAGACTGGGGCCAGAGGAGCACAAGGCATATTACAGATTTTCACTGGCGTCCATCATTCTGCAAACTTCAAAAACCCGACTTCAATTTTTTTCAGGCAAATACACTGGAAAAGAACCACTATAGTCATGAATTTTGGCTCTTATTGAATGGGTTGGTCATTTTATTCTTGGACAAACTGGCTTGGTCTAGATTTCCCTGTGACCGAAATGCACAGGGCTCCCTTGCAGGTGAAAGAAGCCCGGTGGCCCAGCAATGAGTCCTCACTCGGACGCTAATGATCTGTGTGAATAATGTTTCAATTCATTGCTACTCAGAGCCTCAGTTTCCAGAAGAGCTGAAAGTCCCCACCAGCTTGGGGAGTCCCTGTATCTGTGATTCCAAGGAGGGTAGAAGTGGGGAACTCTAATGAGAAGACACTCCTCTCAACTCTGAGTGAGGGCAGATATTTGCTATTTCTTTTGCTACTGGGATTAGAAGAAAGCTCCTGGACATTTCTTTCAGTTGCTAGGCAACTCCAAGCAAATAACAATGGGAGGTAGCAGGGAGGGGAAGAAGATGCCTTGCCAAACTGGGTACTTGGTCTTTCCCCACCCCTTCCTGGGCCCACCACACCTGGTTGGGTACCCAGTTAACCTGTTTACTCACAATGCGGCTACGGGTCGCATTATCAAAGAAGGTGTCCTTATCCTGGATGTTGTACCTGGAGACATCAAGAAAGCGGAAGGTCAACTAATTTTAGTACCCTTGTCCTGAGACCACTGTCACCCAGGCCCACAGCAAACTTTCAGAAAACAACATAGCAAGATTTAAGACACACCACACACACATTCACAATGTTTATACTCTTTTTGACCCAGTAAATCTGAAAACTTACCACAAAAATGTATCCTAGGGAAAATAAATTCAACAGAAGAAACAAGTTCCATAAATAAAAATGTTCATCACAAAGCTACTTTTAATAAAGTTATGGAGATAAGATGCAATTCCAAAATCTATACAATAAATTATCATGAAGCTGTTGAAAATAATGACTATTGAAACTTTATAAATAGAAAAATGTGAAACTATGATAGAAAAATATTATACTATGGTAAGTTTTAAAAAAGAATGTTAAAAAGATTACTGGACACAGTATGAGATAACAATAACAAAAGAGTATAGTTTCAGGGTGTTGGGATTATAATTATTTGTTTTTCAAAGTTTCATTTAATGTTGTCACCATGTCATATCAGTTAGGTATCAGACTCATAATTATGCAAGGCCTATATCTGTTCTAAACTTGAAGTAATTAACCTTTCATTAAAAAATAACACCCCTGTGTAGAGTTAACTGTGCTTAGGACACTGTGCTAGAGGACACACAGATGCATGAGACATGCTCCCAGCCACCTAGGAGCCCACTCACTGGGGTAGGTATGTTTCCAAATAATTGATGCAGAGTAGAACATGATAATGTGTAGACCATTGCTATGAAAACTCCAAGGATGGATACCATATTCTGTTGGAAAGTTCAGAAAATTCTTCAAGAAGACTTGAAGGACCACAGAGGCTGAATGAATGGAGCTGTGTGGGAGGGGCCATTCGATGTCAGGGCTAGCAAGAAGCAAGACCCAGGGAAGGGGAAGCATGGGAGAAACAGAGTGTAGAAAGAACAGCAGGCCAGGAGGTCAGCATGCCAGTTCCAGTTAAGCCACTTAAGGCTGTATAGCCTTGGGCAGACCCTGGTCCTTGGTTTCTTCTCTATAAAAACAAGGTAGTTACATCTGGACGGCTACCTCGCAGGAGGTTGCAAAATTGTGATTTATAAAATACATATTTTGGTCTTCGCTGTTTCTGGCTCATAACTCCCAAAACCTTTGGAATTTCTGACCAATCAGAGCAACAGACACATCTTTTGTTACAAAATTTGGTCTCTTGTCTTCAGTTCTTAAAATCACTTCACAGCCGTAAATGTGAAATGAGTGTTTGTTATTCATAACAAGCCTCTTTCTACCACCACTGGGTTTATGTCAATGAGATGACTTTTGGAAAGCAACTTAGGATGGAGGCTGGTTGCCAGCATAACCAACTGTGAATAAAGGTTTGGAGCTTTCAGTCCCACCCCCTGATTTACGGGGAAGGGAGAAGGGCTGGGGGTTGAATCAATCATCAATAGTAAACCATTTGATCAACCATGCTTATAGAATGAAGCCTCCATGAAAACCCAGAAGGGGCGGTTTCAGAGAATGTCCATGTTGGGGAGCCAGAATTCTGCCACATGCTGCCTGTCAGCCTCCAACTCCACAAAGACAAAAGTTCCTTCATTTGGGATTTTACACTCTGCCACCTCTTCATCTCACTGTTGATATGTATCCTTTAATACTTTCTGTAGTAAACTGGTAATCTAGTGGGTAAGCTGGTTTCCTAAGTTTTGGAAGCTGCTCCAGCAAATTAATCAAACCCAAAGAGGGGGTCATGGGAACCTCTGATTTATAGTCAGTCAGTCAGGAGCACAGGTAACAAGCTGGACTTACAATTGGCATCTGAAGTAGGGGGAGGGGGAGTCTTGTAGGACTGAGACCTCAGCCTGGGAAATTTGATGCTGTCTCCAGTTAGACTGGGTTCTCACCCAGCTCGTGTTGGAGAATTTCTTGGTCGTATGGAAAAACAAACCAATATATTGGAATGGGTGACCAGAATTGATATCAGAACCATAGGGAAGGGGGATTCAACGAGAAAATACACACAAAAAGAACAGCGTATATATGTGTATAGAATCATTAATTAACATGGCAAAAATGAGTAGGAGATACTATCCAATGACAGCAAAAACACAGCTGCAGGAAGGCTGACTCCTCAAAAGAAGACAAATCCTTATATTTTCTCTGTCTTTCCATGGCCCTCCCTTTGTCCTTCTTGCTTAATTCTCTTATCATTCCCAATCGTCTTTTATTTTCTCATTTGCTCTTAAAACAGAATGAATATTTTGCTGCTGCACCTGCCACTTCCCAAGCATGACTCCCCCATCCTAAGGTTTCCCAAACAACCATCCCTGTGAAGAGCTCTTATTCCCTCATCCAGGGTAGGGTGTCGGAAGGGGGTCTCCTCCGAGTCAATAAGTGCATGAGTAAGCAGCTGAGGATACAGAAATCCAGAAGCTTTATTCATCTTCTCTCTGGTTATCACAGTATGTTAAAATCCTATTAGATTGGGAACGGGGCAGAATGGTTCTTCATAGGAATTAAACAGGTATCTGAGTCCCAAGCTTTATTGTCTGCTTCCTGATCCTCCACCCATCATGCAAAATAACTGAAATGGCAGGTTTCTCCATAAGCCACTGGACAATTATTCAGGAGTTATTTGTGATAATCTCATGTAGGGAAGGAGACAGAGGAAATACTTCACCATGAGAATATGCTTCCTCTCCTATCTCCCAGGCACGGGGTACTTACTTTGTGACTGAGCAGTGTTTGATTTTCTTTTCCGTCCCCCCTCACAACCCTACCCCACAGTTCTAACACTCACAGGTACATTTTCTCCCTGGAGAATGGGTAGGAGAGGTTTTTCATCCTGTTGTTACTATGGTCTGGAACTCTGGGCTTCAGGGGCGAGCTCAGCTTCTGCAGAATCTCGTTGAACTTCTTCGCAATGCAGCCTTCTGATTTGATCTCGTACATCTATGAAAGGTAAAGCCACAGGTTTGAAAAGAAGCCACATCCAACACTCAGAGAAGAGTGACTTACCAACCAAAGCTTCATGGGGCTCAGAACCCATGGAGGGAACCGCTCTGGGGAGAGGAGGAGGCTGGGAGAAACAAGAAGTAGGGTCATTCCCTTTCCCAACTGCTTTCACGACTTGGGCTCTGGACTCCATCTATTTGGGCAAATGGAGATGGCCAGGGTAAAGAAATGAGCAATGAGTCCAAACTTTCTATATGACTTTGTTATATCATTGTAAGAGAAACAGAAGACCTACTATGTGACAGTCACTATCCTAAAGCATTTTATGCAAATTAGCTCCAATGCTCCTCACAGCAACCCAGCTAAATAAACAATAATTATTATAATGGGAAAATCAAGGCTCAGAAAGGTGAGATGAGCCAGCAAAGATCACACAGATAGTTACTGGGTGACAGTTTGAATTTAATTTATATCAACGTAATCCAAAATCCATACTCCACAGCTATACCACACCCCTGTGTGATCAGGTTGCATTACCTTCTTTGTGTGTTCTCTTTAGGAACTATCTGATAAATGGTACTAAACATCTAATGAGTATCCGCCTTGAGTGAGGCATAGAGTTAGTACCAAGATAATCATTGATATTCATAATTCACGTAGCCTTTTATAATGGACAGAAGGCTTTTGCATACGTTATAACTTTTGGTCTTTCTAACTCACAGATGTTGTCATGAGACACAGAGGTTATACTCACAGCAAAGCTGTAACAGATTAATGATGGCCACAAATTTTTTTACACAAATTCCCTTTTCGAATTTTTTTACACAAACTCTCCTTTCAAAAAGTAGCATCTCTATTCTACCCTCTTAATTCTGGGTAGGCTCTGGCTGCTTGACCAGTCCAGCAGAAGTGACACTCTGCCACTTTCCTCCTTTAGGAAGAGAGGTAGCTCTGCCTTGGTCTGCCTTGGTCTCTCGGGGCCCTGAGCCACCTGTAGGAAGTCTGCAGAGAGGACTTAGAAGGGAAAAGGGTTGGGCTTAGCCAGTGTCCTGGCTGCTCTCCCATTCAACTCAACCCCAAGCCAAATACCACCAAGTGACTCAGTCAACACCACCTCAGTCGACTCAGTGAAGCAGAGGCATCACCCAGTCCAGCTCTGCTCAAGTTGCTGACCAAAAACTTGTAATATAGAATAAAATGACTATGTTTTAAGTTATTAAGTTTGGGCTAATTTGTCATGCTGCAATAGATAATTAGAACAAGAGCCAACATCCAGAGCTTCTAACTTGAAAGCTGGTTTTCTTCTCTATCATGGTATCCTCAAGTTGCTTAAATCTGGACAGGCAGTAAAACATGAATGGAATACTTAAACGATAGAGATAAAAGCCACAGAAGACATACAACATGCTTTGAGGGTTCAAAGGAAAGAGACAGCACATTTAGTTGAGGGATCAGAAAAATGTTTTACAGAGAGAGTAGTATTTCCGTTGGACCTTAACAGGAAGGTAACCTTCTTTTGTTATCAGTTTGTTCTTTAATATCATAGTGATAAGTTGAGGGAACGGAAAGAACCACCCCTATCTAACAACTGAAACACAACCACAGTTTATTTCTTCTAATAAATTTTTCTATGCATTTTGATTTAATTTCAGTTATAAAATTAACACAGTTCTAGTAAACAGACAAACCCTTACCATGTAAGTATATTAACTAAATGTCATTTTCTTTCTCTTCCAACCTAATCCTTTCCAGAAGAAATCTCTATTAACAATTTGAGCATGTTTTATCCCAACTCTTTCAGAAATGCATGTACAGCTGAATCCCTTTTTAAACTGTGATTATAATCTTTTTCTATAATTTGCTTTTTTCACTTAGCGATAGTTCACAGTTATATACCTTTCCAGGTCAGTTCAGGTAGAACTACCTTAATGAATGCATAATATTACACAGTAGACATGAATCCTAATTTGTTTAGTCATTTCTCTAGAGATGGGCATTTATTTTATTTTCTACACATATGTTATCTTAGTTGATCACACTTCTATTCACCTGATCTTATAAATACTTGTAAAGAATAAGGCTTAAACAGATATAGGCAAAAACATTCCAGGCAAAAAAAAAAAAAGTGGAAAAGTTCAAGTTGGGTTTCAAAAGGGTTAAGCTGCCTGGTTTCTTTGGAGCATGAGAGTTTAATGGGGACATAGTAACTGTCATGGTAGAAAGGCAAACTAAGACCAGTGCACCGAGATCCTGCTACACAGGGCAATGGGAAATCAGCAAAGGGCTCGAACAACGACAAACTCAAGGTGAGGCTGTGTAAGAAGCAGAGGGAACCAGCTTTCTGAAACAAGGGGACTGTTTATTTCTAGGAGCACATACTATTTAGTAAGTGTCTCCTGTGTGCCTGGCTCTTGATATACATTAGCATTAATCTGAAAGACATACTGCAAAGCCAAGAGAAGTTAAGTATCTCAGTCAAGATCACACAGATAGCGCAAGCCAGATAGTAACTGCTGGAGTATTTGAACCCCCTGGCAAAGCCAGTGTTTTTAACTGTTTTACTCTCCTGCTTTATTTGCTAAAGCATGAGTTATCATAGGAAAATGACAGTGTGCAGTTGACAATACTGCTTCTGCCAAAGCTCTCCTTCACACACACTGGTCACTGCAATGCAAATAGCCCACCTTCCAGGCATCTTTGGGCCCGGAGGGAGGGGATCAAAAAGATGAGTTCCTCACGTTATCTCAGCACATGTTTCATAGGTCATTTAGGGCAGGTTCTGACCAGGCACGGACCCTGCACTGAGACTGCAATGATGTGTTAATCATACCCATAATCATGTGCCTTAAATGGTGTATGCATGAAAATTAAGGTATCAGAGCAGGAGGGAAGCTGATGGACTCTGTCTTCCAGATGCCTTGGAATGACAGACTCAGACTGACCAAGGGTATTTCTTCTTTGTCCTCTTCTCTCCATTTCCACCTGTGGCTTCCTAAAGAGCCTTCAACTACAGCAAGAATTGATCTCCTCATATCTTCTCTTTCTTAGGGTTGCCAGAGCTAACAAATAAAAATACAAGATGTCCAGTTAAATTTGAATTTCAGATCAACAATAAGTAATTTTTTAGTATAAATATACGCCATGCAATATTTGGGATATAATTACACTTAAAAATTATACTTATAGCCCTGGCCAGGTGGCTTGGTTGCTGGGAGCATCGTCTTGTACCGCAAAGGGTTAGGGGATTGATCTGCGATCAATGTTGAATCATTTCTCTCTCTCTCTCTCTCTGTCTTTCTCTCTCTCTCTCTTCCTCAAATCAATGGACATGTCCTCAGGTGAGGATAAAAAATATATATATACTTATACAAGAACAACCATAATTTTTATTTGGGACATATTTATACTAAAAAAGTATTTGTTGCTTATCCAAAATTTGAATGTAACTAAGGCATCTGTATTGTATCTGGCAACCCTACTCTTGTCCTCTAATTCATTCCTCATATTGGAGCCTGAGTGATGGTGCTGAAGGAAAAAATATGACCATGTCACCTCTTTGGGGAGAGTCTTCAACAATTACCCATTGCTCTTATGACAAAGACCAAAACTCTTAATACAGCCCACAGGACTCTGTAGAAGTCTCCACATTTTATTCCATGGGCCAAATGCCTCTCCATAAAGCCCTTATCAGTCTTAATTTTACATTTATTTGAGTGATTATTTGATTAATGTCCAGCTGCCCCAAAGCATAATTTCCATGAAGGCAGGACACTGTCCAAACTGTTCCCTGTCTTTGAATGAATGAAAGGATGAATGAATGAATGAATGAATGAATGAATGAAAAGTCTCTGGGGAATGAACATTGAATGACAGCAGTTACTGCCACTGAAGGAGCCCAGGCTGGGGACACAATACCCATAAGTTAACAGACCTTGATAAAAATAAGCCAGGCTGAAGAAACAAAACAAAAGTCTGAAGCATCTATCTGGCTGAAAGGCTTCCCTTCCTGTCCTCATCAGCTGTAAAGGCACTTGGAACGCCAGCCCTGGCAGAGGCCAGGAATGCCTGTACTCAGTTGGTATAGATTAATAATCCAGTAATTGTCTCAGGGCCTTGTTCTGGAAGAAGGATAGCTAAGAACCTCTTATAAGTTCTTGACCTTCATCTTGGTAGTGTATCTGGAAGAGCTCACTAGAGGAAAAGGCCAAACTGCTTGGGCACTTGCCTTCTGTGTTTAGAGGGACCAGGAATGGGACCAGGACAAGTTTTGACTGTCTCATTATTTTTATTATTATTATTATCATTATTATTATTATTATTATTATTATTATTATTATTATTATCAGACTTCATTCACTTTATTTTCCTTCTGTAAAACTTTGTGGCAGCCACAGCTGGAGCCTGGGTCCTCTGCACAGAAACTCTTCTGTGGGTCTTTACAAGATGATCAGCGAATTCCTGACAGGAAGGCTTGGTGAACACGGTCTCTCTTCAGAGGTCAGGGGCAAGAAATCTGTAGGTCTTAGAGATGGCATCAAAGGTGGCCATGGCAAAGTTGCCCAGGGTGGCAGTGCAGGCCCTGGCTGAGGTATAGCAGTGGCTGCTCTAGCATCAGCATAATTGATTAATGAAGACTTGGGAATAGCCTATCCAATTATTGATGGGATTCCTAATATGATACCACAGGCAGCGAGGATGACACATCAAAGTAAGAGGCAAGAAGATACGGAGCAGCAATAAATCATAATTAAAAACCACATACACAACAAAATTTTCTTAATACTATCTACCTTTAAAAAAAAGTCAGGGTGGCAGGTAGTAAGTGGGAGAGAAGAATGTTTCTGTCTCTCCCTACGTTGACTGTCCTTACTCCACTGGTCTCTTTAGCAGGATTGTTCTACTCAGTCTCTGTGGAAGAAAACTTCCCACAGGGCTGCACAAGCACAGCCATCCTGTGTTTTTACAGCCTGCTCTTGCCCATTACCATACCAGTGTAT